TCCGAGGTGCAAACAACACAATTGATTTGAACAATTAGTATGCATGCTTGCCATAGAAAAAATACAACAGCAACAATGACTGCTACAACAACAACTTAAAATCTCTAACTCACTTCTGCTTTGTTTTGGGCAGCGGGAGCCGCTCTCGCTGTTATTTATATTTATTGCTTTGTGATTTGCAATTTCTGTGTTGCTACGCCATATTCGATTGGCCGCTGCCTTTGGCTTGTTGTAGACGTGCACTAATGTGGCACTAATGCCTCGTTGATGCTACGACTCCAGCGCAAGTCAAAAAAGAGACTCTGCCATTTGGTGCACTCGTAGACATGAATTATTATCATTGTTGTTGTTTGGTTTTGTTTTTGACTTTTTGGTTTCTGTGAATTTTCGTCTGCATGGAAATATACAGTGGTGGGTATTAATATGTGTTCATCTAATGGGGAAAGGGTTTGATATGAATGAAATTTATAGAAAACGATTCGAATTCAAGTGTGCTCTACCCAAGGGCGAATCCATGGAGGAGAAAATGTGGAGAGGTAAAGCTTAAAACTCAACAACTGAGCAGATATTGACCGTGCGCCAAATCTTGGAAAAGACCCGTAAAAAGAGTATTGGCACGGAAAGCGCTAAAAGTATCACCGCAAAACGTATACGGCTGTGTAAACTGACGTTGAGTGATATTCAAAGATCCGTCAGGAACGGAAAATACCAAAGGCGTTCGAAATCAAACGAAGTTTCAAACAAGGCGACTCTTCAATCTACTTTTCGAGAAAATATTTCGATGTTCTGCATTGGCAACGGCGAATATCGCATTCGGCGAAACGTTGAACTGCATGAGTTTTAGGGCACAACCCCTGGTCACGAGTCCAGAACAATATGGAAGTTCAATTGGTGGTAGTTTTGGCCACAAGGTCTGACCGGAGACTTAATTCTGGTATTCTGACAACACGAGAAGAAGTTCGCTCCAATCTGCTCATGTGGTGCTACCATTTGGTAAGTATCGTGATGGTTGTGGTTAAGACCCGAATGCACGAAGAACTGACTTTGCCTCAGTTGAATGTGGAGTAGCATGCAACCGGATTCCAGACTGAAAGTACGGTACGTAGGTTTCAGACGCGTCTTGAACCCTACCAAGGTGGTTAGTGTATCCATGCCACACTTCCTATTGACACTGACAAATGCATGGCGTTTTCAAGGCGCTGATCAATGCATTGATTTGAACCGCTTGAGTGCTATGGGGTATGGGCTATCGTCAGCATGTACCTACGTTAGACACACCGGACGTTCCTTTTTCTCTTAAATATTGTACGAAAATTTCTTTACTTTTCCGACAAAAGTAGAATTAACTTTTTTTTTTTTAACTATATCCATAAACCCGTATTTCCCTAAGATGCTCAAATAGGTATACATTTCAGAAAAGGCCACTACAAAATTTTTGAGTTCTTTGGTTATCGATAAAAAAAAGTTCGGCGTGTATTTTTTGTTGAGAATAAGATTCTGTAAGCGAAAAACTCTAAACTGAGGGCAATCTTAACGTCCACGACGTCGGAAAACTTTGAATTTTCATTAATATTTGATCACACTACTCTTCATTCGGCAATAAATAGAATTAAAAATGTTTACTTTGCAAATATCCCAAATTTTGAAAGTCGTACACATTTCTATGCCCACCACTGCATTTTAGCAAAGGAAATTATGAAATTAATACACACTCTTTAGCGCCCACTACTATTTCGCCGAACACAACTGTGCACGACCATAAATGCATTTATATATATTACCGATTATATACATTATATATATGTAAATATGTATACGTGAGTAGGTGCTCAGATTGCATTGGCACGCTTGTAGCTACTTGGCTTTGTCGCCTCTACTGGTTTGTACGAATTCATAATAGTTTGTTCATTGAATCGTGATTGTTGCGTCGGCCGGGCGCGTGCAATCTTCCGCATCTGTGTACATAATCTACCAAATGCGAATACAAACAGACAGACAGTCATAAACTAAACATCTGAAACGTACAAGGAAGCGCCGAGTCTGCTGTGCTGCTGCTGGAGCGTGGCGCTTGTGGCGGCCAGACAGGATTTGTGGCAAACACAATTCGTGTTATTGTGTCAACGAGTCGGCCGAGCCGAGCTGCTGGACAGGTGTGTTTGCCATACATACATTGACCGCTCGCTTTTTTGCTTACTTTCTTCAACTCGCCACCATCTCCATTTGGCTTGATTATCCATTCGATTTGCTACAATTAATATGCCGAATAAAATTTGCTCAACTAACATACACACGCTTGTACATATGCAGTTATTTGTTGGTTGGTGTTGTTGCATGAGTTAGGCAATTTAAGGAAATTGTTAGGTGATCAGGCTAACTTTCAGACTTTCACTTTTCACTGTGCAAATGGTCGGGGAAGGATATTTTTTGAAGGACTAATGCAGAATTGAGGTCTCATGTAATCATGTGGATTTTCACTTCTTGGAACAGTTCTCTAGAAACTTTCCAAAGCTTCCATAGGAGGATTGGGACAGGTGTGACAGGTCACTGGCGTATTCCTTTCTTTTTGGGGATTTTAAATATTTTAGAGAAAGTTCGTGTTAAGTTCGAGTTTGAGATTTGTGTTTTAGGATTCATGAAGTACCATTAGTTGTTCACAATAGCGTGTTTACTTAACCTGGAGTTTAATTATTACGCATACGAAGTTGAACTGGCATGATAGTCAGCAGAGTTACCACGCATTTAAGCCAGGAAGGCAGTAGTCCCTGTGAAACAGGGTTTCAATAGCATAAACCCCAAAAATAGTGTTTTCAGCGAGTTAAAATGAATTTTATTCTTATCATCATGTAAGGTAAACTCCGAGTTTAAGGATAGTGTTTAATGTTAAACTCCAAAATAAACTCGAGTTAGTGACGCAATGTAATCATTCGGTTAGCAGAATAAAAAATAAAAAATAATTTATTTGAAAGTTAGGGTTATCTTTCTATAAATATCGAATCAAAGTAGTGTTTAAGATAGATTTAACTCTGCCTTTCATGTCTGTCGAAGGCGCATTTCTTGTAAAATTTTGGATATTTTAGAGGAAGTTGTTTAAATTCGTGTTTATGATTCAATGTTTTGAGCTCATGAAGTTTATATTCATTCTGGAGTTTAATTAATTTTTATTATCATGTAAGATAAACTCGAGCTAGTGACATAATCTAGTCATAATAAAAAATTTAATTTATTTGAAAAAACCGGTTGTGTTTCTATAAACACCAAATAAAAATAGTGTTTAAGACAGAGTTAGGTGTTTAAACCTAATTTTCGGTTATCTACAGAATGGCAAAGGTTTAGTTTTTATAAAGTTTCAGCAAAGATCTTAGTGTAGTTGCTGATATAGGCTATCCCCTGATACTGTGCAGTCTTTAGTAGACATTGAAGTGTATCTAAAGACATATAATATCTTCATCGTAAATTTTCTCAATATCTAATGTAAAGCATATAATATATTACAAAAATTTGAAAGAAAGTTGAAGAAATCTATAACTTTTTAAAATACTGCATTTCCTCAACCTTCACCTCCTTCAAACGACCAATTCGCTCACTGAATACATGTGTTCATTGCATTCGTTCAAAAACAGCCAAATTTAAGACTCGTTATACCCAACAAAAAACAACGCACATAAAAAAATTCGGTCATATAATCTCCGAAAGGTTATCACAAAAACAAGTTCAAACAACTGAGGAAATAGGTTAAGTTTTCCTGGCGAATTTGACATGAACATTTACCAAAGTAACAGAAATTTTGGTGGAGCAGCTTTGTGCGCCCCATGATACGCCTGCGCACGCATGACATGAAAACACTCTGTGCCAAAAGTTACTCTAATTGCTGAACTATCTCGAGATATAGAAACTCTTTTCCGAAATATTGAAATCGGAGTGTATTATTGCTTGACCCAAAGAACCTTTAATTAGACCCTATACTTCTAACAGCTACTTCTTCAATACTTGGAGTAGAAACCGTTTACGCTTACGCCGGTTGGCGCCAATTGGAGTTTCTAAGATCCTTCTCCCCTGGTCTTTCCAACAGAGTGGATATTCTGCTTTGCTTCCTCTGACGGGTACTGCGTCGAATACTATCAGAACTGAAGGATTTTCATTCAGACGGCATTACCTAGCCAGGAACAGCGTCTACGTTCCTTAATTCGCTGAACATCGTTCCATCGACCGTTGTCAATGCGCAAATTATCATAAATCTTCCGCATAACCTTTCTCTCGAAATCTCGTAATGCCGACTCATCAGCTACTGTCATTGTCCCTCTGCACCATATAGAAGGACGGAGACTTGTACAATTTGGTTTTCTTCCAGAAAGACGACTTTACTTCTCAATTGCCTAGTAATTAAGACTTCTTTGATCAAGTTTGAGCGAGGCCCTTAGCGAGTTGAAAGGAAGGATTTAGCGGAAAAAATCTGTATAAGATAGAATTTCAGGAACCTTCGGAAATTAATGACTAACGAATGAACTCTTATCTTCCGAGAAGACCATAGGCCTTTTATGAATGCCATAGCTTTCCCAGCAATATATTTACAGTTAATAAATGATTACTTGGCGACAGCAGTGAACACTAAAGGAACCTCGATTATGAGTTACTCTCTATAATGAATATGGATTTTCGATAGAACTGCTTTTTTATCCAAATTTTGGGTTCCATTTTGACAGAGTGTAACTATGCATACGTCTATAGGCGTATGGAAGAGTCTAACCGTAAACCGCCAATGTCGTCATAACACACCAGAAAAAGCAAAACCGACGCAGCAAAAGTGCAAATGCAAAGAAGTTGCACGCTCCCATATCTACTGGCCACTTTATGGTGCCAAAGCAACTCTCCGCTTTCCATACTATATAAACCGCACTGAGTTGGACGTGAGAAATTAGTTGGACGCCAACATTACAACCGTTAGCAATAAAAACGAACAAAGAAAGTGTGTGAAAATCGAAAAATTTACAGAAATACAGAAATAAGAAAACCCGGTGCCACTAAAGAAAGCCAAATGTCTTTGCTGCTTGCCAAAATTTTCGGTTGCGCCTTTGTGCTGACCATCAGCTGTGCGACATTTGTCGCCGCCTTACATGTGCCCTACAGCAATGACTTGGAAGTTCAAGGTATACAGTCGGCCATCTACAATGCTGGACCACTCGGCAATCATGCTGGCCTCTTAAGTGCCGCCAAGGCCGTAAGTCAACTGCAGCTGCCCAAATTGAGTGAAGCAGTGGAACAACATGACTTCGGCAGTGATGATGGTCACGCGGAGTCGCTTGGCGTGGCTGGCGATCACTTAGACCCGAAACATTTTCCTGCTGATTATGCCGATGATCATGGTGCCACCGCTGAGGAATACGAAGAGGCCGAGGCTGCTGGCTCGGAACATCTCGAAGAGGTCGCACATGCTGACTTTGGTGGACATGAGTTTTTGGATAAGCTGGACTTCCATGGTGATTACCACGATGCCTATCATCAGCAGCCTGTGGTGGGCATTGATCATGGCAAAGGCGCTTTCAGTTACAGCACTTTGTACGAGCACAAACACGATGAGCAGAAAGGCTTGTATTGAGCTCGTGCGGTTGTTGGCGGGTAGGAATGTATGGGAAGAGACGTGTTGAAGTTGGTTGAGATCTTTTTGTATGTCCGTGTACTTTTCGGTGAATTTCAAGTATAAAAAAGCGATCTGTGTGGTGAATTTGGGACAGTATTATTAGCCTTATTTTATACAAATCCGGTTTGTAATAATCGTAGTATGTAAATATATATTTTATTGTTTTGTTTTTATTAAAAAAAAATTATAAAAATTAATACAATTGTGGGTGCTTAAAGTTTTACTTTAAAGAAAATGGATTTTCATGACGTACAAGTAAATTTGGCTAGCGGAACGGGCTCTACATACGCCTCTTGCTCTTGAGCTTCATTTTTCTGTAGAACCTTGAACGGAACGTCGAAAAGAATAACTTTCTCAGAGGATAACTTGTATGTTAGACCGTGACTAGGGAGTCTTTCCATAGAAAAGGTCAAGCTGGAGGTAAAAGAGATAAAACTAGTTGTGGAGGGGTAAATTAAGAGATTAAGAAAGGTCAAGTTTTTGTTAAAGCGTGGTCAACCACAGGTAGAGCGAGGCATGGGGGAGTTCTGCAGCGAATTTTCACTTGGGTTTCAATGAGGTATTGTAAAAAATGGTTTGAAAAAATCCCTATATTTTTAAAAAGATAACAGTTTCAGGAAACAGAAGGGGATTACTAATCCAAGTTATTGGTTAGAGTTGCCACATAATTTTATAATAAAAAAAGTGTAAAAAAGTTTCTTAAAGACACTAATCACCTATCGACCATAAGAAGTACGGCGATTGCCCTTCACTTTCTCCGCGACCGCATCACCAAAATCGAGATTATCACTAACATTCGTGACACCTGTGCCACTACTTATGATCTGTGTATGCAATCCGGTCGATAAAGTGGACCTACCCTCATCAGAGACACCACTAACATCGTTACCGCCGGCGAGCGATGGAGTGAAGCGATCCTGATGATTGCTTACATCTGGCACGGCGATCAAATGAAAGTCCGGTTGGTGGTTTGCGGGAAACTCCAGCCATACAGTCTGTGCGGCAGGCAACTGATAACCTGTTGTGACCGGCCAGGGTTGCTCAAGCGTAGTCTCGTGATGTTCTAAACCCAGATTACCCAACGTAGTACTGCCCTCCGTTGATTTCGACAGCTGTAGAATGCTTGAAGTGATTTTTATGGCCGGACCATAGTCTAGAATGAATTAGTTTTGCACACACTCAAATATTTTATGTGGCTCAACAATTTAACCCACCATTTGGTGCAGCACTTGGGCCGTGTCCGCTTTTGGCGCCTGCCTGCTCGCTATTGTCGCGTAAAGTGGTGGCCTGCAGCTCGGAGACTATCAAAATTAGTAGAATTAAAAGCCATAATACTTCGAATTCATGCCTGCGATGTGTCATCATTCTGTGCACCGTTCCCTTGAAGTTGTCCTCACCGAATAAATAATTCTTTTGAAATTGTCACATTTATATACGTGTGGCGCTTGAGTGCTAACATAACCTCGAATGCAATTATTGCAAATATACTTCGTGATCAATTAAAGAACGGATGTAATTTGTTGTGCTTCGACGCTTAATGAGCTTCTGTACACATTGGTGGTTCAGTTGCTTCGATTGTCACATGCTGACCTACACCTACTGCACTACCACCTACTAGGTACACAGAAGCGCGGTAACCAAGGGTGTGACATATGTAGACAAAGAACCGCTCTATGCAATGAAAATATTGCTGCCGTTCATTCAAGTGTTGCTGAAGACCGAAATTTGTCGATTCTAAGACGTTTTCTAGAACTGCGACTGTCTTAAACCCCAACCAGCCGGATTTTGAGAATGGATTGGGTCTTGTATTCGTATCAAATTGTTTCCAATCAAGAACTGAAACCATTGGACCTCCGTAACCGTCGTTAATTTGACGATTTTATTTAAGTTAAGTGTTTAGAGATTTTTATTAAGTCAGCAATTTGGACTGAAAACTTAACTTATTAACTTATTTGGAAAAAACTTAATTACGGATGTTTCTTCCCTTCAGAGAGATTATGGAGAGAGCCCAGCGAAGATTACACATATGTGCCAATGGACTGGAAGAACATAGAAAATAATTGAGGTTTTGCACTGCCACCTCTGATCTATTTTGCCCTCTCCTATATCACATATGGTCACAAAGGTTCAACACTCTGAATAATTCCAGGAGATTGCTGGGTTGATGTGATCCCTGTCCACGTAGAAGAGCCTTGAGTCTACTTCTGCAAATTGCTGGGTGGTCAAGAATCAGGTGTTTTGGAGTTTCGTGTTCCACGTCGCAAAACCGGCAGTTTTTGCATATTTTTCCATATTGGAAAAGTGCCTCCTGTGCCTGCTGTGCCCCGTAGTAGTAGTAGTCCTCCATGCGGGCAAACTCTTTTATGGTGTGGGACCTCACTGCAATGCATGGTATGGCCCCATCATCCCGGAAGCTGCCTCCGAGCGGGCTAGTTCGTTGGTCAGCTCACTGCCGCCTACCCCGTTATGCCCTGGCATCCAGGTCAGGTTGCAAACTGATAGGCGATTCAACCTTTCTATACACTCCTCCACTAAAAGCGATTGACTTCATAAGTTGAGATTACCTTTAGTGTCGTTTGACTATCGTTGAGTATAATGATGCGCTGGTTGCGATAGTCGGGATAAAGATTGATTTCAGCAAACTGAATTATAGCAAAGATTCTCCTTGAAAGGTGCTCGGAAAATACTCCTTTGGTATAGACAGTTTGATATGCGGTCCCTCAATGTCTACTCCAATGGCTTCCAGTGTTTTCAAGCCATCAGTGTACCACTGGACAGTGCTGCGTCTCAGTAGTAGGTCGACCTGGGAACCACTGCACTCCTCCTTACTGCCAAAATTAACTCTAAACTTCTTCGTAAAGTTTACCCTCTTCGTAACGCTGTCCCTTGAAAGAAGGGCGGTGGTGTGTCTCCCCTAAGGCCTTCATTTGTTGGCCAATAAACTAAGTGTTAACTCTTATAAGACAGAACTTTCTCCGCACAGGTAATTAACTGTGGGGTTGAAATCGATACCAAGCCGAATTGGAAAATTATCATTGAAAAAGGAGCATATAAAGCGTATATGGCCTATCTCCCCTGCAAAAGAATACTTAAGAGGTACTGGGCCTTAAACTAAATAAATTGGATATACATATAAGTCCGAAATTAGGCAAATTATGATGTACGGACTCAACTACTCATAGACGCATACAGTAAGTAGCTGCAAGTGTTGCTATAAGAATTAGGACGTTGAAACAGGAAAGTACTAGGTCTGTGGTGTCATATTGAATAACTACGGGAGCATACCGAAAACAACCGTATAGACAGATAGACCGACTGAATGATAAGGAAGCAAATATGGCCCAAGTACGATAAGGCTAGAACTAAGTACTTATTTCATAGGTCCAGCAGTAGTATTTCAGATTTATAGTTACTCTTATTGGTCACAGGCCTTTTGATTAAGCGTGTCAAGAATTTGAGGGAATCTGGTTATGAAACTTGTTTTCCCTTTTAGACTCATTATACTTGAAAATCGAACACATTTTTTAAGTTTAGAAAAGCCTTCAAGGAAAAAGATAAGGCGTGGATATTAGTGTGTAGTTGGATTACCAGTTTCACCTGAACTAACCAAGAACTAAATGTTTATAGTAGTATTGTTTTATTATAAGCAGTCCTCATATTATTCAATATTTTTCAAAAGTAACGCGATTTATGGAAAACTTTTAGAGCAACTTTCGTTCCAAAAATTTCACATATTGACTACAGTCTGGTATTCTTGATAGAAACAGGACCTGTCGAATTTTTACTTGACCCCGAAATTACCTGAAAATGAACACCATTTGGATGATTGTAGTTTTAATCGAATCTATATACCATGTAAATCGTCTCCGTTCTCGGAAATATTTCGAAAAAAACTACAGTTACTCAGTTTAATTTTAAATTCAATTTTCAGAATTTTGCTTTTCACCAAAGAGAATTTAGCGCTTTTGCGGTAACTTTTCTCCTAAACCTCAATGCCTATCGGAAGCAAATATTAGAAACAACAACCACCATTGCCCTCCAAAGAACATATAATCACTGTTGACCTACGATTTAGCGAAATCTTTCGTTACCACAGTTAGACCCAACGCTGCATACTTTAATTAGCGAGTAACTGATAACTAAGCAGCCAAATCGAAAATGCAAGGCGAAGGTGTGCAAACAAATACCAAAAAATGTTTATTCAAAGCAGTTTCATAAAGAATATCGAACTTTTTTCGTAAGCAAGCAATCTGCAAGAACACGGCAGTTTGGTATGACACAGACAGATTGAGTACATAAGACTAAGGTATATAAAATAAAATTGTTAACGGTTTTGACTAAAAAGTTATAGTTTCCAATTGACTAACAACCAATCTTCTCCCAGATGCCACCGCTCTTGTAGCCATTATTCCAACCACCCGACGAACTGCTGCTGCTCCAACCGGCCTGCGATGCTGGCTGTGGAAGGGGCTGTGGCGGTGGTGGTGGTGGTGGACCATAGCTTTGAGCTGGAACACCATGGTAGTCACCTTGCTGCGCGTTATTATCCTCATCGACTATGATCTTGATGGTTTTCACGATATCCGATGTTTGAGCGGGTAGTGAAATGGGTTGTGGTGCAGGCGGTTGCAGTACAACTGAGGGTGGTTGATAGACTGGTACGGGTTGTGGTGCCGGTACTACGCGAACGACAGGACGTGGTGCAGGTGCTGAAATGTATGTGGGTTGTACCGGTACTTGTACGGGCACGGCCACGGGAGCTGGCGGGGCTTGTACTTGAATTGGAGCGGGCTGTGGTGCAGATTGTCTGTACTCATAAGTTTGGGCAATGTTTGTCGCATACTGGATGGGCTGAGGTGCCGGTGCCGGTGCCGGTGCCGGTGCTGGAACTGGAGCTGGAGCCACTTGTACGATAGGTTGTGGTGCAGGCGCTGAGTAATATGTAGTTTGGACGGGCACTGGTGCTGGCGCGGCTTGTACTACTGAACGTGTTGGCGCTGGTATTGGGATCCAACCACCTGTTGAGTAACCATCGCTTGAGGCGCCACCACTTGAGTATCCGCCACTAGAATATCCACCACTTGAGTATCCACCACTTGAGTATCCACCACTAGAGTATCCACCACTTGAGTATCCACCATTTGAGTAACCACCACTTGTGTAACCGCTGGCTTGGTTCGACGTACTGACGACGTTCTCATTAGGCACAATCACTTTGATAATACGCACCACTTGCTCACCACCGTTGCTACCGCCGTAACTGCCGCGGTTGCTGTAGCCACCATAATTGTAGTTGCCGGCGTATGACTGACGTCCGTAGCCATAACCGCCGCCATAGCCGCCACCGTAACCGCCATTGTAGACGGGACGATTCTGCTGTGCGTAGTAGCCACCGTTATAGTTGCCGCTGCCATAGCCGCCACCATTACCACCATCACCGCCGCTAATTAGATTTCTACCCAAACCCAAGAGGGCCAACTTGGCGCCCAAGAGAGCTTGTGTGGGTGGCGTCAGTGTCGCCAGGACACAAACCGCAAGTATCAAGCACAATTTCATCGTTCCACACCCAATTATATAAAGACTGATCGTATCGTATTTAAACTGAGTAAAGCGAGTAGAAAATTAGAAGATCAGCTAATACCGAACTGACCGTGTACCAAACTCGTTGTGAACTGTTAAAATCTCTTTGAGTGGCGTACAAATTTATAGGCCAATATGTCTCAACCCGTCTAGCTCAACACATTCGGAGCTACTACGTGCTATATTTCCTATACATAAAACAAAAAAAAACAAAATATTTTGGAATCTGTATGTACCCATGACGGCAATAAATAGTTTAACTAGCAATTCTTGAGTACCGAAATTTTCCCCACCGCCCACACTTCGGCAACCCTTTAACACAGTTAAGTGCGGTGCGCCAGCGCGYTCAACTCAAGCGACAAGTAGTTCGCACGTCTCCCGCCACACACGATCGCATACATACATACACTCGCGCTAATATCTTTTAGCAAGCGTAGCTTAAAAGCCCTCTTCCGTAGACCAGCTCGGTAAATGCTCGATCTGTGATCGGTGATCTGCGCTGTAAAATGATGTTTGCTTAATCAATAAAAGAAGTACACACTTTGCGCTGTAGACGGAGTGCTCAGAGGCATTTTATGTATATACAAGGGTGGCGATTAAATTGTCTTGAAGAAGCAAAATTGTCTTTTCAACAAAAATATTCACCAATTAATTTTAATTTTTATATTTATAAAAAACTATTTTGGATTAAAAATAATTTCGTTTTCTTTCTTATAATTTTCTTTAACAAATAAGTGGCAACCTTTGACAACAAATTTTATAAAAATCGTTTCGTTTTGAAATTTTGAAGCAGGAATAATAATAAATACATTTAAAAAATTTTGTGTCGAAATTAAGTGGCAACCCTACCAAATTTTTATAGAAATTTAATTGGAATTACTTGTTATATAATTAAGAATTTATTAAGAATTTATTATGAATACTCCAATTTTTTCTGTGGCAAAATTATGTGGCAACTCTACAAAATTTAAACACAAATTTAATTGAAATTACTTGGTATATAAACTATTTTGAGTAAAAAATAATAGCAAATATTTGATTATTAAATTACCAATTTTTTTAGCATGGTAACACTGTAAAATATTTTATTTCCATTTTAATTATATTCAATACTTTTTGTAACTTTATTAACAGGTACATGAAAAGCATAAATTTTTATGCCATTAATACAAATTTAAAATTGAAAGTAGTGGCAATCCAAATATACTTTATATGCGTAAATATTTAATAAAAAATAATTTTAATTAAAATGGCAACACTAATCACAAATGTGTACTAAGAAAAAAAAATTTTTTTTGAATTTTTGGGAGCTAATCTATTATAACAATATCTGGACCAATTTAAATTACAACTATTTTGAAAACAAATGGCAACCCTGGCAGCATAAAAATGCAAATTTATTTGTAAAATTAATTGCCTCGTTTTTATACGCACTTTTGTTCAAAATTTTTCATCATTAACTGCTAAAATTAAAACTATTTTAATAACAAATGGCAACTCTGGCAGTATAAAATTTTAAAATTATTTGTAAAATTCGTATATGCACTTTTAGTTTAATTTTGGCCGTAATATATTTACTATATAAAATTAATTTGTTTAACAGTTGGCAACCATTTAAAAAAAATTGATGTAAGCATTTCCTGCATTCTATTTAATAGAGAATTTTAAATCTATAATTAATTTTTTACCAAATTTTGCTTGAGTTCGAAACATGCTGACAGTTCATGAAAAAATAATCAATATTATAAATTTTATTACGATCACATGACCTTTCTCCTGGATTTTTTTTTTTAAATCAAGAAAGAAAAGAGAGGATATTTCCTCAAATGTCGAAATCTGCTTAAATGGAAAAGTTTTCCATACAAGTACTTAATTCTGATCGTTCAGTTTGTATGGCAGCTATATGTTATAGTGGTCGGATATTTCCAGTTTTGAGAAATGAGCAGCTTCTTGGTGAGCGAAGGATGAGTGCAAAATTACAAAGCGATACCTTCACAACTGAAGGACTAATGTGCGTATATACAGAAAGACAGACGGACGGAATGGCTAAACGAATTCAGCTCGTCACGCTAATCAATTATATATATAAAATTTATAGGATTTCCAATACTTATTTTTAGTTCTTACAAACATCGTAGTAAACTCAATATACTCTGTTCAGAGTAAAAAATGCTGCTTCACAATTTTACGTCCGCCACTGTATGAAAGTTAAAAACTATTTACTAAAGCAGATATTATTGCTGATAAGTACACCAATTTGCACCAATACCTGTTATTTGTACGTAGACATAAGTAAGTATAAATGCTAATATAAATAGTAGATCCATAAAAAAAACCACAATGTTGATCATGATCAATTTCCCAAGCTTTTCTTCGTTGCCTCCACATATTTGCTCTTCTACTATTTGTATACCAAAATATTGGTGCCCAGTTCATGAGCTTCTTAAGCAATCTTCAGCAATTACACATATGTATATATAATATTTAGTAAAAACTATATTCATCCAGATAGCTCATGCTTATATACATATATAAATAAATATATATATATATATACAAATATATATATCACATAAATAATCGTGAATAAAACCTCGATGAACAAAATAGATAAGTATATTTTTGTATATCTTCAGTATGTATCCGTATTACTCGTTCGTATTGATTGTCTGTTTACTTTTGCACGCACTGTTTATTCAAAGATGAAGTAATTACCTTTTCGGATGCGTGGCGTTGACAGCAAATCGATTCGCAAATAGAAAATTTGTCTGATTTGGATTAAATAAATATTTGGCATCAAGAAAAAGAGTGATCCGAACTCTTAAAGTTGAAGATGAAGGTCACAGATTCGGTCAGTGGTAACAACGTAATGTCATGAATGAAGTCAGAATATAATATACATATAAAAAAAGAGAATGTATTAATTATTTAAAAGATTTTTGGTTAGAACAAAATATCTAAATATAAATATCTTCTAAATCAATTTGATTCAAGGTTAATGATTTTAGCTTTCTGATTCATAACTAGGATTGTTCTTGCATCTAAAAAGATGAAAGATATAATATTTAAGATCCTACGTTCGAATAAAACAAATTGGAAAATATAACTTTTTCCCATTTTTCTGGCAAAACTCAAAAATCATTATGATAAAACTGTTCATCTTGTGATGCTATCCAAGAATCAAGCCATTTTTCCTTGTTGTGAGTGGAACTGCTTCCGAGCCAGACCGTGTGCTAGCGAACGGAACGAATAACAATCGGACGGTGTAATATCTAGCGAATATGGCGAGGTGAGTAAGGCTTGCCATTTAAGAGCAGGTTTGGCAACGTGAGCCCGAACATTGTCGGAAATTTCCTGGTATTGAGGTCCTAAGCAATTAAAGTAGCTTGTTCCTGAATTATTCTCAGCGCATGTTGTTTGAAACGGCTTGCGGATAGATGCCATTGCTGAGCTCTTCTTGCGTTCAACGCGGATACTCATCGAGCAACGGCTCCAATTCACCGTCATCGAAAGTTTTTGGCTATATTAAAATAGATCACCACTAACTGCTGGAGCCACCCACTGACAAACAGTGGGAACTTAGTTGCTCACCTAATGCATCACTTCAATCTTGTTAAGTAGCCAACTAGGAGCATTCGAGAGAATCGTCCTTCGGAAGATCTTTGGAGCCGTCCATGTAAGCCACTCAAGAACCATGAGTGGAAAATGGAAGCAAGGGGACCACGCATGCAATTGAAGAACCAAGTACAAGTATTCTGTCTGCACTAGGCTGTACAACTGGCGTAACCCCTCAAAGGATAGAGCATACTGCCAGTGTCAAAGAAGAATAAATAACAACACTTATTTGGCTACAAGCTAAACAGTGGCAAGAATTCTAGTTTGCTAAGAAATTACAGACAATTTACATATACCCATATTCGGCCTTCTGCCGATATAACAGTAGCAATTCTTTGCAAACAAGAGTTAATCCTTTGTTGCGGATTAACTTGATATGCGGCTCGTGTATATCGACAAATTGCTCCTACTCTTGGTCTTCACTTTGCAATTAGTATTGTGTAAAGTGTCATAAATCTTATAAGTACATTTTGTTTATTACTAGGGTGATCGCACTAAATTTATAAAGCAGTCAGACATAATTTTTATAAAAAAAAAAAAACCGATTGACTTTCTGTTCCTGACCTGTTACTAGACCAGAACCTTCAGGACAAGAAACCAGCCTACAAAATGTAGCGAAGGAGGTCAGTTTTGAACGTGAGTATTAGTGCTTAGTAATGAAGGAGGGCAAGATCAAGTACCTGTATGTCACTGTCGGCAGATATAAATTTGAAAAAGTGTAGATTTTCGTCTATCTTGAAACCAGCATAAACACCACCAACAACCATGGAGATCAAGCGCAAAATAACTCCTGCTAACAAGTGCTACTTTTGGATCGAGTGGCAACCGAGAGGCAGTTCTCTCCATTGATAAACAAAAATTACGGTCTATAAGTATTTTAGCATTCCCATCGTATTAAACGGCGAAGAAACGTGGACTATGTTGAACCGAGATAATAAAACTTGGAGCATTCGAGAGATGGTCACAACAAGGTCTTTGCAGCTCTTGTCGTAAGTGCTGGGTAACTCGATGGTTTGGCCGCGTACTAACCACTGAAGGCGATGATGCAGCGAAAATCCCTCTCGATTTGAGACTCACGGTTGCAGTATGAAAGAAGAAGAAGAAAAAAAGTACTGCCGCAATACTATTTTACAGTTATTTTTATAGCTGAAGTCAATCATACAATGAAGTCAAAGTCAATTTTGAAAGAAAGGATCTTGCCAAGTCTCAGATTTTGTAAAAAAGTTGGTTACCACGAAAATCTCAGGTACAGAAGAAATCAACAGTTTTCGGGCCAGTAGATTGATTAAGGAGGTAAGGCGAATAGGTATATGGGTGAAACCAAACCTTGATAACATTCGATAAATAGCCAGTTTGAGTTACTTGATCGGAAACTCTTAGACGATTACAACAAAGTTCGGGTGTTTTGGAGAGGTTTGTTCTAAATGATCGATTAGTGTTGGAAAAAATGAAAAATGTGCCTTGTAA